GGAGCTATTGACGAAGGGTGTGTTTAGTTTCTTCATCTAAAATTGAGTCGCTGTCTCATCGGATGTTTGACACATACATAGAGTATTAAGTATAGATTAATTATAAAACTAATTGCACAGCTTGTGACTAATTTACGAGATGAATCTTTTAAGCCTAATTAGTCCATGATTTGACAATGTAGCGCTACAGTAAACATGTGCTAATGACCGATTAATTAGGCTTAATAAATTCGTCTCGTGGAGTACTGACGGATTCTGTAATTTATTTTTTTATTAGTATCCAAACACCCTATACGACACCCTCACGTGACACCTTCTAAATTTTAGTCACCGGATCCAAACACTCCCTTTACTTTGGCAAAGCCGCTGTTATGGTGCAATAAATTCCCTGTCAATCTGTCCCAACCACTACATTATTAAAGTAGGTATACATCTTCTGATCTTTAAGCATCAACTTTTTATCTGTTAATAGTGATCATGGTACAGTTAGTAAAATCTTAGCACTGGAGCTCAATGCTGACACAACATGCAACTCTCAATAGCCCTCTCAATTCTTTGTTGTGATTCAAGTACAGTTATTTTTCCTTTTTTAGCGTTTAGTGCTTCCCTATGAAATCCTATAAATACTACAGCTGCTTTCTTCTATAATGAAATGGCAGAGCAACTGCCCCTGTTCGGCTCCAAGAAAAAAAAAACTCTCAATAGTACTATTGCTATTGTTCCCACCGGTTATTCCTTGAAAGGGTGTGCTTCAGAGGCCATGTGCATGGTTAGATTAGGTGGCAGATTATTTCCCAGCCTAAGAATAGAAAAAGGTCCTCTAGGTCTGAGTTCTCTGTTTGTTTACTTTAATTATAATTTGGCAGCTTTAAATTTTAGTTCCTGTTTTGCCTTTACCTGTTTATCATATCATATTGAAAGTTGTGACACAAGAAAGGGCGCGTGAGCTGCTTTACGTTGTCCCATTTGTTTTATACTTACAAGAAGGCAAGAAGCCTGCATAAACGTTTGATACAGGAATATCCATTTTTTGGTCTTAATCACATGGTATCACCGTCATGACTCTTTAATCAAAGCCTCATCGATAATCTACTCTACTATACTAATCCTTGGGAGGCGAGTTTTGGTCCTTCTGGGTGCATTTGAAGAAATTACAGCTGTCCATTAATCCATTCTCGGTTTCTGTCAATATCTCCAATGAAAATTAATACAACGTATCTTTTCCCCTACGTATCCACAGTGTAGACGATGGATTATTGAACATATTTATGATGTCGTTTAATTGTCGTTAACTGTTTAAATTTTAAACACAAGATCACTCAAAGCGCGGAGAGATTCTCATTTCTGTGCCTCTCAGCACTTTTTTTTTTTTTTTTTTGGTCTTGTATGGCTGTCTGTCCATAGCCATAAGCCCATAACTGAAATTTTTAAGAGTTCTCTTCATGATATTTTATCATAGTGGTCCTGCTTATACAGGCATGGTTCAGCTAGAACCTTCTCTATTGGTGCTCATCAATTGAGAACAGGTCGTCCCAAGCCTCTGATTTGAGATTATTAGATGCTTTTTAGGTAAAACATTGGACTGCATGGTATGGTCTGAGGAACTATTCTCTATGTTTCGGAAGGAAAAGGAAAACTACTTTCGAATAATTATGATGATGAGATCTAGGACCCCTCATTTATCTTTCACAAATGATTCTGTTTTGGTTGGGATTAGGCTGCTTGTAGATCATATTTGTTATTTCTGGCAAGTAATGTTGCTTGCGCAAAGTTTCTTGTGTCTAATGCTTGTGCCTTTTTGTTGCTGCCAGCTTTCTTTTTCCTCCGTAATAATTGAAAGTGCTGTTTTCCTGAATGTTTTCTGGAAAAAATGTTATGGGAGACACAGCCAGTCCTTTGAAGAAACCAAAAATATCTCCTACTATAAGTTCCAGTGTAACAAACATTTTCCACTTCAAATTATTCTGTCTGCTTGTTCACTGGGCCAAGAGCAGAGTGACAATTTATCCAAAACAAAAAAGAGCAGAGTGACAGGTTATATTCAGAACTCAAAATGCTGTGATCTGTATTACAATTGGTGAATCAGAATTTCTGTGGAGTGGACTAATTCAAATGCTGAATCCCAAAAGAGAGCAAAAAAAAAAAAAAAAAAAAAAAAAAGTTGTGAAGTGTCACAAGTTGTTTCATACCAAGCTGTGCTCACTGCTCACATTCTGAACTTCTTGTAATCTTGTTCTGCATTTCAGTATCTGTGATGCAATAAATGCTATAGCAATTGGACTACATTGTGGATCCAAGTCTTGTTTAGATTAGGGTTATGAATCAGTATTTAGTACTGTAGCACTTTCGTTTGTATTTGACAATTATTGTCCAATCATGGCTGTGGATCAAACAGCATTTCCAAAGATTTGATGTGACGGAGAGAGAGTGAAAAACTTGGAATCTAAACAAGGCATTAAATGCTAATTACTTTTGATTGTAAATTACGAGACGAATCTTTTGAACCTAGTTAGATCATAATTAGATAATAATTATCAAATACAAACGAAAATGCTATAATACCAAATACTAATTTCCAACCATCGTCTAAACAAGGCCCCAGCTTTTGATCCGCAGCTCACACATTTTGCATCTTTTGCAGCGGATGCTGCGGAAATTTGCTCCAGCTGCAGTGCTAGTTCAGACTTCAGAGTAACTCCTACGGACCTATTACTACAGCTGTGCCCAGTGTCCACTGAAAGCTTTGATGTTTCCAAGGCACGCTCCCTACACTTCACTAGCTTTATGTTAAAAACGAAAACTAGTTGTCTACTCCCTACACTTCACTAGCTTTATGTGAAAAACGAAAACTAGTTGTTTCCTGTACACCTTTTTTTTTTTGCATTGCCACTACTTAAGGACGCGTTTAGATCCGGAAATTTTTGGATTTCGGATACTGTAGCACTTTCATTTCTATTTAGTAATTAGTGTCTAATTATAGACTAATTATGTTTGAAAGTTTCGTCTCGCGATTTCTCACCTAACTGTGCAATTAGTTTTTTTTTCGTCTACATTTAGTACTCCATGTATATATCGTAAGATTTGATGTAACACTTACTGTGCAAATTTTTTGGGTTTTTTGGATGAACTAAACGGGGCCTAAGTTTAACTTGTGTATAAACGTTTTCTCTTCATACCACACTCTTCTTTTTCTTAAGATAAGAGCTCCCCACCCTTTTGTCTGCATCTTTCCGTGTCTTGCTAAAAAAACAGCACTTGCTTTTTTATTCCTTAACCTACAAAATCTTCCTGCGTCTTATTGTCAGCTGAAGCATTCTTTTATATTTTGATACTCATATAATAAAGTGGATATATAGAAATAGTTCTATGCTATTGGAGTAGTTCTTAAGATGCAGACTCTTAACAGTAGTCTTGTTTATTCAGGCATCCATAGTTTTATGATGACGAGGATTTCATGCTTTTACTTTTACAGTTGGAGCACGTCTTGGATTTGACTGTATTTTTTATTTCCCCTTTGAATTAATCCAGCTACTGAATTCCCAACAAGGCCCCCCAGCTTCGATCTTATCCTCTCAGATGGACAGCTGTGAAATGTGCAGGGCAAGATGGCCAAGCAAAACAGGTAGGTACAGTACAACAGTTGCTGCAAATTTTGGTACGCGTGCTTTCGATAATTTTACCCCACATGTATTTCCCCGAGTTCTCTTAAAGCTCTCTTCAGACTGGGAGAAAAAGCGAATGACAAAACAAGAATATGACTTTTTATGTGATTTTGAAGATTCAAAAGAAGAGGCACATCGGGAAAGCTACATAGAAAGGTGGAACTTAACAGTGTGGTTGGTTCATGGAATCACCTTATGCTTCATAAGATGGTGCATCATGAGTTGATCCATAATTTTGATAGAATTAATCTATTCCTCATGTATATACTAATTATTAGTTTGTGAGAAATAAAATGGTAATAGATCAACTCATTTAATTGCAGAAACTAAACAAAAAAAATGAGGAGTAAGAAAAAATAGACCACCTCTTTCCTCAAACCAAATACACAAAAATATTTAACAATGGAATTATCACCTCTCAACTACATGAAAAAACATATACTCCTATATCTTAATAAATATCAGTTTAACATGCACGCTAACTTTTAGATTTATCTTTCAAGTTTTATTTAAATTTAATATCTGTTGTTCAAAAAACTTTAGATTTATTGCAAATTTGCAATAAAAATAAATCATTACAGTTTTCATCATTTAACTATATATATAAATAAAGTTGTGCAGTGTAGGCATAGTAATGTCATAATGTCCGTGGAGATGGAGTGAGCAGTACTGTATGGTACAAACCCCAATGTGATTGCTTTTCTCTCACCTGCTGCACCTTTTCTAATAATATACTACTATCAACAGGCAAAATTTAAAGAGAAGCAGCATTCGAATATCAGCTACAATGCTTATGAAAAAAAATACTCTAGAATGTGTATTTTCTTTTCAGCGAAAACACAATTAAGCACTACAATTCTTTAAACTATTCTTTTATTTATCTTATCCATCTTCTGTAGATATTGTTGTCTTCTCTCGCTGCTTTACTGTTCAATAGAAAAAATGAAAGTTACGCTGGACTCTAGTACACTTTTGCAGTCCAACCAATCAGATGGTTGGTCAAAGGAGAGAGGATCACCGAGCAGCAGCAGGAAGCCCCGCCATTCTTGTGCCGTTTCTGCCCCAAAATCTCCCTCCCTCCCTCCCTCTCTTTTCTTTCTCTGTTATTTGCCCCTAATTAAAAAATCCTATCCTTGATGACTTTGGTATAATACTGGTACAACAGGCTGCTGCTTACTGGTGCCTGGTAGTAACCGGACACAAAGCCAAATCCAAACTAGAATAGGTGTCTGTTCTTGCCCGCCTTCCTCTGCCAACCAAAGAAGCAAACCAAACCAAGAACAAGAAATTTTTACCCAGCAAGCAAGTTCCAACCTAGAAGAGCCCCTCAAATTCAACATGGAGGGAAGGGAGGGCATTGCAGTGGCAGGTGGCCATGAATCCGGCCACGGTCTGTTTAGAGCAGACATCTCCATGACAGAGGCGCATGAAGCAGCGAAGGGGTACCACTTCTCTCCCTCCTCGCCGTCGACGTCCCCCACTCCGTCCCCGCCACCAGCTGCTGCGGCTGGCCACGGTGGGGATGCCACTCCAACTCCGCTAGCCTGGAGTCTGGGTGGGGACAAGCCGAGCGAGGCCGCCGGGAACAACGGCGTGCAGACGGCCGCGCAGACTGAGCACGCCAACCTGAGCTCCGGACGCCGCCGGGGCCGGCCGCGCGGTTCCGGGAGGCGCCAGATCCTCGCCACCCTAGGTCAGTTTGCCCCCTCAAATGCAAAGCGTCCTTATTTTCTTCTTCAGCAGCTCAAAAATTTCATTTTTTTGGTAGTTTCTTGCAATGTTTGCTCCCCTTGTTGATCTCTGTTACATTGCTTGGATGGGGTCCAGTTGGGTGATGTGTATGTGCTTTTCACACTCAAGAGGGTTACAAGTCAAACATCCGTTACCTGTTACCACAGTTTTTCTGTTCATCGCATTCATCTTTTGTGTTATTAATTGTTAATTATGCGATTCTCATGTTTTTATCCCCTTTTTCCTACCAATTTGTGCGCGCATTCTTTCTCAGATTTTTCCTGGGTGGATTACCTAATCAACCTAATCCTTAAATTTCTTACCGATTAGCAGTGATTAAGGTCTCTTTCATCATTGGGTAGTTAAGTTACTTAAAAATTGTTCATTTCGCTGTCTGAATGCTGTTCATCCAATGCAAAAGGGGAATGGTACGCCCTGTCAGCCGGAGGGAGCTTCACACCTCATGTGATCATCGTGGGTACTGGGGAGGTAAGACATGTGTTCCATCATCATCGGCAGCGTCATGCTTCTCTGCAGACTGCAGCTAGTTTGGCATTGCTTGACTAGTGTGCAGTGCTTGTCTTAACGGTGTCACTGAGCTCTCTTGTCCAATTCGTTGGTAGGATGTGGCGGCGCGCATAATGTCGTTTTCTCAGAAGGGTCCACGCTCGGTCTGCATCCTCTCTGCAAATGGGACTATCTCTAATGTAACACTGAGGCAGCCGGATCCATCTGGTAGCACCTTCACCTATGAGGTATGGACTGTTGAGTGCTACTCTTTGTAAATTATCATTCTCCTTGTAATGTTCAGATTATATAGAACTTATAAGTCCTCTCTAGACAAATTCGGTGTATTTAGTTTTAGAGTTGTCTACAGGCACATCAAGCAAAATGACTTAGTTGGCAATGTTTTTTTTTGTGTTGAAAAAAATGGCAACCTTAATCTGATCTTTCATGTTGCGGTGATATAAAAAATTTCAACCACCCATTCGGACATAGATTTAGCAATGCAAGTCACATTCTTTTGACTTGATTGCAGTAAGAATTAAATAGATACACTGTCAGATTCACCAGCCGGGAGACTATTGTGTCTGAAAAAGACCCCCCTTCTACTTTATCTTTGACTTTCTCTTCGATTTTGTTCTATGCCAATTCCATCTTCTGCGCCTCCAGTTTGTCCACTATTGGTTTGATTTATTTCAGGCACCAGGAAGACTTTTTAAGTTCTTGTTCTAACTGTAACAATACACAGAAAATCTTAGGTATAAATGGCCATGGAACGTCTAAAGTCTCCCATCTGCATGGAAAGTGGCAACTTTCACCTCCAAGTTGTTTCATGGCTATAGGATCACAAAGATGCCGTGCACATGTACATTGAGTTTGTGCTACTTATGTTTAGAGGGCACTGATTCGATGTGTTTCTGGTCTTCAGGGCCGTTTCGAGATTCTGCAATTGATGGGCTCCTTCACAATGGCTGAGGAAGGTCGTCGGAGAACCGGGGGGCTCAGTGTCTCTCTTGCTGGCCCTGATGGCCGTGTAGTTGGCGGTGTAGTGGCTGGGATGCTGCGTGCTGCTAGTCCTATACAGGTAAATATAACTGAACCTGAAACCAATTTTTGGATGCAGTCACGTTAACATGTCAGGACACAAACACATTGACTCCTTGTTGATTCAGTGCAATCAGTAATAATGTATCAGTTTGCAGATTGATGGCAAAGCAAACGTTGAGCTATATATCGTTTGTTGATTCTCTAACATAAAACACGGCACAGGTGATCGTGGGGAGCTTCCTGCCCAACAGTCTGAAGCAGCATCAGAGGAGGATGAGCTTGCAGCAGCAGCAGCCACCTGCTGTCCCGGCACTACCAGCACCACCAGCACCTGTGGCTCCCCCTCCTGTGCTCACTGCCGCTATGCCAATCTCCCAGGCAGGTCCCGGCAACGGCTTCCACGCACCGCCACCCTCCGCCGCCCCGCCTCCACAACCCCATGGCAGCACAGAGCACGGCACCATGAACCTGAACACGACGACGGGGGGCTTCACCATGGTTGGCTGGCCTGCGAGCTCCCCGCCCATGCTGCACAGGGCCTCTCCTGACATCAACGTCAGCTTGACTCCCCAGGAGTAGAAAAGAGGAGCCGGTTATGGCGGTTGACTGGTTGCCGTTTTCTTTTGTCGCCTCATCCCTGACACATTTTGTTATGTAGGGCATGGCTGTTAAAGTAGATGCTAGATTAAGGACGGTTTAGCCAAGATTAGTAGGATGTGGTAGATGCTCTAATCTGTTTTAAGAGGAGATGCCAGTTTCTCAAACAGTCGCCTGTTCGTTTGGTTGTGGCTTGTCGTAAACGATCGTAAATTTCCAGCCAGAATAGTATTTTTCTCTCACACAAACCAACCAACAGTACTTCTTCACGAATCAGCAACGATATGAACCAGTCAACCGAACATGCTGTCCCGTTACTGACAGTTATCTTAATTCTGCTTCGTCCATCGTTGTGCCTTTGCAGCTGTCCAGTTTGTTTTCCTGAATTCCTGATGTTTATGCATATGTACATCCCTTATTTGTGTCCGTGTTTGTGCTCTGCTTACTGAAGGTTCTTGGCATGATTCACAGCTCGAATGCGGTAAGTAGTCAGTAGCAAATCTCCAGCAGTCTTCCACTATGACTCTCTGTCCCTAGTAAAACTGTCATCTTGGAGGGAATGCAACTTTTTTCTTGCTTCAGCATACCTCCATTTTTGTTTTGAGAAACGGGTTGGATTTTATTAAGCATGGAGAGATATTACATCCAGCCCCTTACAAAGGAGCTCCCACAGCAAAATAAAATTACATTGAAGTCCTTTATAGAAGCTCCTAGAGGTCGCCGTTTCAGTCGACTGGAATCGCCGCTGCTCGCCTCTCCTCCATCGCCAGCAACAGAGAAGAAAGCCGAGGAGGAAGCTCAAGGCCTACACCCCAACAGACGACGCGACATCATCTTTGAAGATAGCTATAGAAAACCGTACCATACAACGATGAACGCACTAACAACATTGTCACGAAGACTGGGATCAGACGCCAATCGCCTCAATGACCGATCCCAGACGGGAGATAAACAAGTATAAAATATACCTTTTATTTTTATCTTTTTTGAAACAACTATGGAAGAGCTTTTTATTCCACCAATTTCGAAAAGCAGAAAGCCAAAAGCAGAGTCAAACCAGCTTTACAAAAATGAACTACGGAAAAACAGCTGTTTCTGAAAAAGCACCCTTCAAAAACAGCCCCTTTGGTTGGGCTTTTGACTTTTAGGGCCAAAAGCCAAAGCCAAAAGCCCAACCAGGGCCTCAGTCTACCGGAATCGCCGCTGCTCGCCTCTCCTCCATCGCCAGCGACAGAGAAGAAAGCCGAGGAGGAAGCTCAAGGCCCACACCCCAACAGACGACGCGACATCATCTTTGAAGATAGCCAAAAGTAGCACGGCCACGAATGAACCGTACCATACAACGATGAACGCACTAACAACATTGTCACGAAGACTGGGATTAGACGCCAATCGCCTCCATGACCGATCCCAATCGACGGAAGACGAAGAACCCAACACTGGGACTAGGAACTCCAACCCAAAGCTAGCGGGAAGGAGGAGAACATACCTCACAAGAACAACTCCAGGATCACCATAGGTTTCTTGGAGGGGCAAAATACCTGCGTTATCGACGAAGTCAATAGCTCGGAAAGAAATCTTCGACTTCACCCCGGAGTCACCTCCTCCAACGATGAAATCAAAGAATCAAACTCCTCCAATCGAAAGCAACGAAGAAACTAAAAAAAACTACCTAGATCTACTAGAGTAGAAGGAAATATGTACACCGGCCACCTCACTCCCCGATCCCCATGCCCACCGGAGCCAAAGTAGGCGCCGGCGAGGATGGGAACCTGCAGGAGATCTACGCCGGGATCGAATCGCCTCCCGGTCGCTTGCTATCACCTGTTGTAGCAGGGAAGAGTCGAGAAAGACTGATGCCCGGGACTTACCCCAGCATACCTCCAATTAGACTTGCGCAAATTGAGATGGGCCCGACTCAACTCGCAAGCCTGCCCTAGGCCCGTTGAGTTTTGGCCCGTCCATGAACCTTAGTGGACATGGCTTAAGGCACATATCTCGCAGCTTAGAAAAAAATTCTCGATCTGAGCTCAGCCTCTGTGAAATGCACGACTCGCATAGTAGGATGGTCATGGACAGGATTATATCAGTTCAAAATAGCTGGGCTCTTTTTCGGCCCAACCCGGACCCTACCTGGTCCGCGAAATGCGGGTCTACCTCCAATAACTCTTCCTTTCTTCTCGACTATATCTCTCCCATAATCCCATCTCCCTTCAAATAGAAATTTGCATCTTCCCTAATAGCATGGGTTCCATAGTAACTGCGCCTTCTTCCCTTTTTGAGCTATGGCCCTCGTGACCTCACCTTCGTCCAAGTCATCGGCCGCCGGCATTTTTCTGCGGCTGGACGTGAGCCATGGCCACGCCCTCTATCCAAGTCGTTGGCCTAGAGCTCTAGAAAACGGAAGCCCACTGATGTGTCTCTTTCTAAGCCGTCGACCGCCGTCCGCCGACGTCTTGGTGCGCCTGGGCATGAGCCATGGCCGCTGCCTCCGTGTTGAATCTCATGGTGATCTTGTCGTGACTGGACAACGAGGTGCGAGGAGGCGGGCGGCAGGGCAAGATTATTGGAAGAAATTATTGTGGTTTGTTGCAACATTTTTCCTAATAATCCAAAAAATGATATTAGGTTACCCCTATTATTAATCTATTGGGAAAGTTGTATTAGGGTCAAGAATTTCCAAAACCCACACCTAATCTTGATTTTTAGCAAGATTATAAAAAAAACACTTTCCAACAATTGCCTCTCTCTACTCCCAATCTTTCCAACACTTGGGGAATCGATCCAATCGCCCGAAAATATACGTGTGCATATCAATTGGTCAATTTGGAGGTAGAAGGATGTGTGCAAGAATAAAAGTAAGAACAGGGTTTCTAATACAAATATATAAGCGAGAAAGAAAATACAAAAGTAATTAGGGTGATTGAGGAATAATCCAAAATTCCTGTTCGCTTGAACTTATCAGCTTGGCTTATCAGCCATGGTACAGTGTTTTTCTCTCACAACAAACTAGCGAACAGTACTTTTCAACCTGGCTTTTTAGCGAAGCGAACATGTAAGATTGTCTTCTAATCTTTTAACAGCTAGAATTTAGAAACGGTTAAAGAAACCTAACAAATATACTTTGTTAAAAAAATATTATTATATTAATTACTTTTAACTACTCCCTACGTTGTAAAAAGATCGTTGTTTAGCAACGAATCTGAATAACCATTGTCTAGATTCATTCTAAAATAACAGTTCTTTTGGGACGAATGGAGTATGAGACAGGCTCTAACTGCATTTGCACTGTGTTTGGGCGGGAGCCCTTTGATGAACAGTAAAAAGGTTTGCGACACCTGATGGCGCCAATCAGCGGTCGCCACGCGAGCATGTGTGCGTATCCACCGCGTCATGGGCAAATGGATATTTCCATTCCAGGCGTCCAGGTTCCAGGGGTGGCATCGTGACTCGTGACGTGTGCTCTAGATGTCACCGGGTCCGGAAAGAAAAGTCTCCGTGTCTTTGTATCAATGAAGTTGCTGACATCGTAGTTGTCGTCCTCATCTTCAATAGAGCCGCAATGGAGAAAACGATTCCACTCTGCCCCCTCGCCATCACCGGAAAGGAGAAGGAGGAGATAAATCTACAGTATCATGAAATTTGGCATGGAGAGACTCTAACCCTAAAGACTCGATCTACTAGAAAACTTATTAAAAACAATGGATCCCACTCCATCCGACCTCCGGCGAGATGCCGGAGGGGAAGGGAGGGGGACCAGCGGTGGTCGACGGCGGGGGGCGAGGGCAGTGGCGCTTAGGGTTAGTCTCGCGAGAGGGAGAATCATGCGGTGAGCAAACGAACCTCAGTCCCCGAACCCTCTGGTCCCCCGGCAATAGAGAAGGCCTGGGGGGATTGGAGATCACTCCCAGGACGGGCCAGATGGGCGACGGGGGAGGGTTCAGGACCTTTCATGGAGAATCAGTCAATCGAGATCAGACGCCAGATTGACCAAGAAACCCTAGATCACTTAGGTAGCGCTCTGCTCCATCTCTCCCTCACATCGCAACAACTCGAATGGGCATTCTAACATGAAGAAAATAGTTGTTGGACGTAGGGCTTGGACGCCTAAACTAGGAAACATCTAAAACAACTTACGATATGGAATGAAGGGAGTACAAGCTAACACTGCTCTGTCTGCATGCTAGAACAATTCAAGTTAACATCATCTAACAAAGTTTTGGATTAACAGTGCTGCAGAATATATGCGAATTACTATTTAGAACCATCTAACCACTGTTTTCTCAATGCACGTGAAAAGAGAGTTTTTTTGTTTTGAGTTGAAAAGTAGTACTAGCATGCATGAGCATAAGAATGGTCCCTGTCCCTGATGCACAATATAAAAGAATAATGGTCCCTGATGTACACATTAAAAGACAAAAACTCTTGAAACGTTGACTCTTAGCATTTCGGAGAAGAATATCCAAACTAAAATTGAATAAAACATGCAGTTAACTAAAACCATGTTGCAAGTAATAAATAATAAACATATATAATTGGCCACGCTGAACGACCAATTATGAATGATTCACATCTTTGCAGCTTGTGTGTATATAATGACCAAAATGCCGGACCAGCCGAGAGCTAGCACAACTACAACCTGCTGCACCGATTTGTCGTCCGCGTCGCCATGGCGGAGCAGAAGGCCACCGCAGCAGCAGCCACAACAGCGGAGGCTGAAGCCAAGGCCAAGCTTCTCGTGGAGCGGTTGGTCGGAGTAACCAGCGACGACCACGAGCGCTTCCTGCTCAAGATCAAGGATCGCTTCCACAGGTGCGTTTCCATTGTACTATTTATATGCATGCATATATTTTTTTAGAAAAAAGGAAGTTTATTTCAGTCTCTGCAAGAGTTTTGCTCACAACCAATTCTCAGCGTCTTGCTGTTTTTTTAGCTCTTATATATTGCATCATCAGCTACATCGATCTATTATCTATATATCT